CTCAGCAACCCTATTTTGTTGAGGGGTTCTCCTCACTATCCTATGCCTTAGGATCCTTTGGTCAATACAGTAAGTGTCAAATTCAGAGTTACAAAACTCTAAACCATTGTCTGTTCTAAGTGCCTTGACTCTTTTATCACTCTGATTTTCCACTAGAGTTTTCCAGCCTTTAAACTTGGTTAAGACTTCATCCTTAGACCTTAGGAGGTATACCCACACCTTCCTACTGAAGTCATCCACAATGGATAGGAAGTATGAATTCCCACCATGTGATTTAACCTTCTCTAGACCAACCCTATAGATCTGCATGTAGGTACTCTAAACATCTAGAAGCCTGATGAGTTCCTTTTGGGAAACTCATCCTATGTTGTTTACCTAACACACATACTTCATAGAAATCTAGATAAGAAATTGTGTCATTCCCAAAATAGCCCTGCTGTTTGAGAATGCTCATACCTCTTTGGCCTATATGGCCTATCCTCAGATGCCATTTCTCAGCTGTAGACAAGTTAGTAGTCAACAAAGTAGTATTAAAAGAATCATGATAGTATTGTCCACATAGAATGTACAAGCCATTAGTTTTAGTTTCTTTTAGTAATACTTCATTATCCTTGTATATAACTATACACCCATTTTGTGCCTTATAATAGTACCCATCCTCATCAAGGATTCCTAACGAGATCAAATTTCGTTTAAGTTCAGGTATAAATCTTACTCTAGTTAGCTTGATTAGCTTGTCATTATTCAGCTTAAGAGTTATGGTACCAATGCCTTGAACCCTACATGAGTGATTGTTACCCATGAATACAATTTCACTATCATCAGTCTTAAGGTTTTGGAACCAGACTCGGTTAGGACTCATGTGAAAGGAACATCTAGAGTCTAATACCCACTCTTTAACACTAGCAAAATTAGACACTGTGAGAGCTTTAGAAGGTTCAATGTTGTTACTAGTACATGCTAGGTTGCTTTCTGTGTTAAACTGTTTCTGTTTCTTAATCCAATCATAACAATTTTTCTTAAGATGACTAGTTTTATTACAATAGAAGCATTTCCTAGTCTCCCCTTTAGGCCTATTATTACCCTTAACCTTTTTCTTATTCTTAAGGCCTAAATTACTTTGTGGACCTCTTCCAGCCTCTTTTCCTATATGACCAGTTTCTGCCCTACCTTTTACAAACAGGTTAATGCCATTTCATTTTTGAGTCTTTAACTCTAACTCCCTAGATTTTAGTCTAGCCACAATCAAGTCTACACTAGGGATAGTCCCACTATATTGTAAAACATTTTTAACCACTAGATAATCTTCAGGCAATGAGTTTAACAAAATCATAGCCAAACTGGAGTCTCCTAATTCTTGGTTGGTGCCTTTAAGAATTAGTGTCATTTTCAAGAACTCGACTAACTTATCATCTAAAGACTTAGACACATCCATTTTATATGCAAACTTGAAAACGCTAAGTTAGGAGCAGATTGTAATGCAAATAAAGTTTCGACTTTACCCCACAATGTGATCGGATTCTCCAGGCCATCTACCTTTCTTAGGACGTTGTCCGACAGGTTCAAGATGATGAGGTTATAAGCCTCCTCATCAATCTCAGCCTTCTTTTTTAACTTTTTCTCTGGCCATTTGGTGAAGTCTTTCTCCAATGCAATTCCTACCTTGTTGTGAGACAAGAGAGCCTTCACTTCTTTTTCCAGCTATTGAAATCAATTTTCTCATCGTATTGGATGATTTCCATGCGAGTGGTGGTGGACATTTTGTAGTTTTTTTCGGTTGAACACTAGAACTTGGGATTGCTTTCTGATTCTCACGAACTGATAGACTAATTGAAGATTATTGAAGACCAAGATTACCTAAGACTAGTTAAATCAAGAAACCCCCAATTTAGCAAAACCTAGAATCAAAAGATTTCCAAAATCAAGAACCTTATTGACGATTTCTAGACCCCTTGACTCCTCAAGAACCGTTAAATCAAGAAACCCTCAATTTAACAAACCCTAGAATCAAGAATTTCCCAAATCAAGAATTGAACGAAATCGACAAACCCTAAAACTTGGCTCTGATACCACTGTTGCAATTTGAGACTAAACTAAACACTAATCAACCAATTAATCACAAAAGGAATCAAGAACAAGCAAACACACACAAGAGTTTACCGTGGTTCACTTGCTCAAGATTTGAGCAAGCTACGTCCACGTTGAGCTCCCAAACACCGAGGCTCGCTGCACTAAGAAGATCAATATCATTTACAGAGTACACTTTCACAATCTCAAACACAACCCAACTCACTTTGCTAATCTATCACTCAATTCTTTTACCGTAACCTTTAAACCCAAGAGAAAGACTCCCTAAGCTTCTTTCACTCAACAACCTAATTGATTGCACCAAGATTATAAGAATTAAAGTAAATCAAAGAACCCAGCAAAGCAGAATATTACAGAGTCGAAGAAGAAGAGAGAAAACCGATTTTGTTCACTGTGTATTTCAATTTGGAGAGCTGCCCTCTTTTTATATCTTTGACTTTTCAGGGAAATTTCAGCCGTAGGATGACCCTTGAATCAACCGTCAAGATTGCATGAAGCTTGGACCAAAACGACAGCATTGGACTTAAACATTAGCTTCACACTTTTACAGTAATTATGTATCATAGTTTGATTAAATTGATTACTGGAGAAAAAAGCTCAACAAACATTGTCATTATCAGTATAAAAACAGTGTATGCGTTACATTTGTTATGACATTCCATTCCATGTGAGTAGACCTTCATTTTTGATACAGTTGGTTCCCAAAAAATAAAGAAAATAACATTACGTTACGCTTGTAAAATATCTCCTTGATTTTTTTTCTTACCAGACTACTTTATATTGTTCAATGATTCTTTCTGCATACATGCCCTCACACACCATTAGCATTAATTAATAAACGATGAGCTCAGTGTCATTATTCACTTTCTTGTTTATTTTCCTTCAATATTTTTTGCCTTTGATCAGTACTACTACTACGCAAACGCCTGCACCAGCACTCTATGTTTTTGGGGATTCTGTGCTTGACAGTGGCAACAACAATCACTTGTTAACCATTGCCAAGGCTAATTATTTACCATATGGCTCCAATTTTGTCCAGGGATTCACTGGAAGATTCACTAATGGTAGAACAATTGCAGATTTTACCGGTATGATCGAACTCACTGTCATTCTCATCATCATAAAAAATTTGAACTACTGCATATATACTTTTATTTTACAGCTGAATTTCTTGGGCTACCATATTCTCCACCATATCTGAGTATGATTAATAGAGGGTCTGTCCCAGTTACGGGATTGAATTTTGCATCTGCCTCCTGCGGCATCCTTCCTGAAAGTGGAAGCACATTAGTAAGAATTTAATTGAAAATCAACATTAAGTTAATTTGATTCTCCCTCGTTTGGCATCTGATTATTCTCTTTATAAATAATTTACAGGGAAAATGCTTACATTTGGATGAACAGATTGATTTATTCGAAGACACAATCAAATCAAAGCTGCCTACATATTTTGATAGCTCCGAGAAATTTTCAGATTATTTATCAAAGTCTATATTCATAATCTCCACTGGCAGTAACGACTACATGTGTAATTATCTTCAACCCAAGTTCTTCAATACAAGCAAAATTTATGCTCCACAACCTTTCGCTCAACTCCTCATTGATGCTCTCTCTCCGAAGCTGGAGGTTCAGTGTTCTTGCTTTCTAGCTAACACAAAATTAATTGACTGAGTTAGAATTCGTTAGTTTATGATAATGTATGTTTATATATCTGCACTGCAGAGGCTATACAATTTGGGAGCGAGGAAGATAGTGATGTTCGAAATCGGTGCGGTAGGCTGCATCCCGGCGATTAAGAGGGAAGGTATCAAATGTGTTGAAGACAAGAACCAGCTTGTCTCATATTTCAACGACGGCCTTCTTGCAATGCTAAGAAATTTGACAACCACTCTTAAGGGTTCCAACTTTGTTCTTGGCCATGCTCATTGGCTAGGCTATGATGCAGCTACAAACCCTTCTAAATATGGTAATTTCTTTTCAACATCCACCAAATTAAAGTTATTAATCAATATTAACATTCTTCGTTTGGAGCATATCAATGTTTTAACAATGTATGTAGATGTATTCTGAGAGTAATATGGTTACTTGGCTACCATTATTTGACTATGCATTTTTTGTCTTCATTTCATAGTGTTCATTTTTTCTTGGAAAGGAAATGGCATTCGTTATCATGTTGACTTTACTCTAGGGTCGAAAGCATTGATAAGAAGCTTTAAAGTGGAGGTGTGGCCCAACTTTACCTGTAATGTCAAGGGTTCGAACCAGGGGTACTTACTCAAGTCCATATTGGGATTAGTGTCATACCTTTGGGTATGGGGAGACCCGAGGCTTTCACCCAAAAAAAAAAGTGGGAGTTCAACATTATATTAGTTCAATTGGATTCAAACTTTAGACCTTTGACATGTTAAGTAATTATCCTTATCGTTTTAACATTATATTAGTTCAATAAGCATTTGTATACTCCTTATATTGTCCTTGATTGATGTATTTGATTAATTAGCTTATTACTGAACAAAATCTTTTTCAGGCTTAACGAATGCAAATAATCCTTGTTGTACTACTTGGAGGAATGGGGAATCAGCGTGCATTCCATTTCTGAAGCCATGTCCTAAGGCAGATAAATTCTACTTTTGGGACGGATTTCATCCTACAGAAGCTGTGCATTCACTCATCGCCTCCGGTTGTATCAATAATGCATCAGTTTGCATTCCTGTTACCTTAAAGGACCTCGTTAATATGTGAGGAAATGCCTTCTTATATATCAATTGAATATATCAGCAGCTTGATTAATCATCTGTGAACAGTCATTGCAATGCATACACAGATTCATATTGTCATGTAAATGTTAAATAGTACATGTATATGTTATCAGTGCGGAAAGTCTAATTATTAACTTTTGAGAATAAGATATTAAGGCATATTTGATGAAGCTAAGGCACACTTGATGTACAAACCTTACATTTTGGTTCTACTAATCCTAAACTGTCTTGTTACAAAAACAAACAACATAATTCCTATGCATGCCTTTATGACCAAACAAACAAAAAATTAAACAAAACAAAACAAAAACAAAGTTGCTTATCCTATTTAGGTTTAAGGGACTTCTTCATGGACTTCGATCCTATGAGGGGACAAAACTGTGAGCAAAAAAATTAACTCAGTGCCGAGGTTCATCATTGTTAATTGGAGGCTTGCGACGAGGCATTCCTCGATAATCCTTGTTCATCAGGTTAACAATCTCTTTAGTAGCCACTAGAAGTCTTTGTGTGTCAACTGTCTGATCATCGGTATCGTCAAGTTCTTGAGAGACTTCATTGTCAGACCTCGGAGAGCCCTTCAAGCTGGCTTTAGTTCGCAATGTCTTGGAATCTTGAGATTGGATTGGCTTAGAGTTCGAGAGAAGAACAGCAGCTGGCTCAGAGTTTAATGTCTTCGTTTTCTGTTTTGTGAACATACAAGTAGTGGTGCATATTACAACAAAAAGATGCCTAAAATGTTGAACCTTTATAGTTAAATTATCAAAATCGTTCTTGGTGTTTGTGAAACACAGAGAGAGAGAGAGAGAGAGAGAGAGAGGACCTGATCATCAGCTCGGTGGTGAGATCTTTCCAGAGACTTCTTTGAAGCTTCACAGCTTTTCCCTGCATTAAATGAACAAATATCTATAATGAACTGCTATTCAAAGTACTCTTCTTCCACAACCCACAAATTTTTGGCAATTATCAAATAAGAAAAGGATGTAAATTAAAGTATATAAGAACATTGCACCAAGTTAATAAGCATTCGATAAAATCCATTTTATAAACAATACGAATCATATACAACTACGATATACAGCATAAATATCCTAACCTGCTAGCTATATATATAGAACATATACTAAGGCTAAGGCAGACAATAAAGATCTTTGCTTTTCGATCTCAGTTGTGTTTAGGAGGGTGTTGTTTAGGTCCATGATAATCAGAATTGAAAGCTACAAAACCAGCAGTACTACTACTGTTATCCTCAATTTTTCGTTCTACACAAAAATCTCTCCTCCCTTCAAAGTCACATTTTCCATCAGAACGAGTTGTAGCACCTGAAATCTCTGAGTTCTTCCTTTGCTGAGCATCATCATCCTTTTCAAACTTTTCCCCAGACACTTTGTGTTCAGCCATTTTCCTTCCTTGTAGCCTCAGTTTCCTCATGTTGATGCTAGCAACACCGTGAACAAGTTCCTGCATGTAAACATTTGTGCTTTGGAGCAATCAAACGAATCCTTCACAACCAACCAAATTAAAAAAGACCGAACGATTGATGTTATACATCAGCAGTAAACAAGCCTATACCTCTCGAGAAGAAACAATATACCCTTGACTACTCGCCAGAAGCCCGTTTCCAGTAGCTTTGTCATCTACGAAAAGAGAAGAAACAAAGACAATATAAGCTTCATTCAACAACATTGATGAAGAAATAAGTGAAGCAATCTAATCAGACATACCTTGATGAGCAAGTACAGAAGCCATAACGAGGAGAAGCCCTAGAATTATGCTTAAAAACCTGAAGTGCATCATTTGAATTTGATTCTTGATTTTGTTTGAGTGTGTCTATTGTTCAACAACATAAAAGAGAGGAACATTGAAAACGCTAGAGTGGGTTTTATAGAGAGAGTTCAAAGCAAGTCAAAGCTAGGGTTCCGACACCTAGATACCTACATAAAATATTACTGCTCCTGACTGCAGGCAGAACTATATCAATATTTAATTACTTAATTAAATGTATTAATCTAATAAAAAAATCAATGAAAAAAATGTTCCTTCCTCCACTTGAATGTGTTTTCATGAGTTGAATAGACCAGAAATATACAGTCTCGAGGTGTGTTTGAATTGAATGGAAAATTATATATATAAGGTTGCCATGCATGCATGATGCAACTAACACAACAAGCCCATTAATTTTAATTACTGAACATTAATCTAGGGTTTTCTGCATCCATATATATCATAAAATGAAGAAATTTCAATTGCAGGACCACAAAGACAAAAACCCTTCTGCAAAATGGAGCAGCTTTTCGAGAATTTCTCAATTTTCTAATGAATTTTTAAGCTCTATACACAACTGGCGTAGCCTTGGCATGTCTATCCCATGGATCTTTTGCATTTGAAAAAATAATTAATATTCAGTTAAACTTAATTAATTCATAGCTAGTTCCTATATGTAGTCAAGGTCTAACTAATTTTCATGAAACTCATGCTTTTCAGGTCTTAAATAAGTTAATTAATTAAACATAATCTGGCTTAATTTCGTTATAATATAATTGAACAGTGGCTTAGCAGCAGGTGGGGAAATATTTAGATATATAATTGGTCAATCCTGGCAAAGGTCTCAGTCAGAGATTCGGTTTCATCAGTTCAAATTTCACAAATAATAAGTAAAAGAATGTTATAATATAACTATATGGATTCAGTAATTTCCTTGGATTCCCTTTAGTGTTCAGGCAAAATTTCTTCTGAACAAATTAAGAACTAGCTACACAGTGGAATCTTTCTGCTGATCACCAAATTGGGTGTTCTTAATCTTAGAATTGAAGTTGCTAAGAAGGGAAAACTTACTCATTCCCAGAATTAAAAAAAAAAATTACAAAAAGATAAAGGAAACAGATATGCTTGTGAACACTGAAGAGAATATATAGTATTTGTGTTTGTCACTGAGAGTGGTTATGGTTTAATGAAATGAAGTTAATTACCCGGCTAGTAGTTCCAGAGTCCTAGAGAATTAGTTTAGATATACATAAACTGTTCCAGACACCTCTGATCATAAAAAAAAAAAATAAAGTTAATTACTTGGTTGGTAGTTTAAGGGTCTCAAATGATTAATTAAAGTATACGTAAACTAGTTCGGATATCTTCTCATTAAAAAAAAAAAAAAATTGAGGCGGCGGTGGTAAATGGGAAAACATAGTTCCCAAAGAAGAGCATGAGCATGAAATTAAGAGAAATGTAACATGGGAAGCAAGTGATTACGCATAGAATTACTAAATCAAACCATCTTTATTAACTATTTAATAACCTAAACTTTTGTGTTTGCATTTTAGAACACGAGGGCGTGTCCTCCAACTTACTGCTCTCTTTTCGTCTCTTTATTAATTAGTCAGTTAATTAATATTTTTATATTAATTTAACATTTTTATTTACAGTAATAACTATTTTAACATCGTGTTGTAATTTTTGACCAAATATGAATGTAAAAAGTAACAAACATTTATGATAATTAAATATTTTTATAACAATTTTGTCAACCCTATTCCTGCATTTATACAAACTTCAATTACATAACTACAAAAAAAAAAAGCTTCAAAATACCACTTTCTCACTCAAATTTTATATTTTATTAATATCTAAAGTTAATTTCAGCGAAGAAAATTCTCTCCATTACCACCATTTGAACCTTTGCTCTCTTCTCTACAAAATCTTTCTCACTCCGACATTTGATTTCTCGCCAATTGTCAGCCACTATAAAGCTAGAGTTTTCTATTCTTAGCTAATTTCCAGTTGATTCTGGCGGCTAATATTCAATCGGTCAACATCATTCAATGCACCGGTCTCCACTCTACTAAACTCCTCTTATCTTAGCTCCTAATAACTCACCGAACTACGGTTGAGAAAATGAAATGTATTTTGAACCTTCGGTCTCTTCTCTACAAAACCTCTCTCACTTCGACACCTGATTTATCACCAATTACCAGCCATCGCAAAGTTAGGGTTTCCTGTTCTTAACTAATTTCTAGCTAATTCTGACGGTAAATATTCAATCGGTCACCACCATTCAATCCATCGGCCTCCAGTCTGCAAAACTCCTCTTACCCTGGCTCCTAGTAACTCATCGAACTATGGCTGAGAAAATGAAGTGTATTTAGGACATTAACAAAATATAAATTTTGGCTAAAAAAGTAGTATTTTAAAACTTTCAAAGTGGGAAAGTGTCATTAAGGCAAACCTTGAGTGAGAAAGTCGTTTACTCAATACTTTTAATGGATATATGTATCAACTCTCAAATGTAAATCTTGCACGTATCAATTGTTGCTTTTATTTTATGTAAATAATTAATATCTTTTGTGGTACTCAGGTTTCGCAGATATATATGAATCAATCCAGTTGTGTGGACAAAAATGAATGAAACAAAGTAACCTCTTCTTGATTGAAGTATAAAATCTCAAAGTATTCATTCCTCACTTCAATGCATAAAAAAGATACATGGAATTAGAGAGCCATTTTGTTACAAGATAAAGCTCTTCAGGAAGAAGAGCATCACAAACGAGATATCGACACATGGACATCAGTAGTATGGCTCCATTTACCAATGTCATGTCTTCAATATTAATGATTTTCCAATGGTATTAATTAATTACTAGTAGTAATCTTAATCCACTACTAATTACAAAAGATGATTAATTTCTATAATAATCTTTTTGTGCTCTTAAAAAGGGACTTGGTGGAGTTTGATGTGCAAAAGAAGAGAAAATATGTTCTCTCTTTAAGGACATTGTCACATGTATACTATATAGTATATACTATAATTTACTAATCATGCTCAATTGGGTGTACGTGTTATTGTCAAGAACAAATATTGGAGAACCCAAGAAAGATTCCTTTTACATGATCAACTTTGGTCTTTAGGATTTAATTGTGTTTATATCTTAATTTAATTGGTAAATTATATAAATATGTAGTTCTTCAAAATTATCATATCCATTAACCATGAAATTTAAATGAGTTTTTTATTAAATTTGTTCTTCTTTTTAATATTATTCTTCAGTTGTTATAACACAATCTAGCTGTTAAATGAAACAACAACAATAATAATTGTTAATATAAAACTCCCACATCGCTATGAGACGAAGGCATTGATCGTTTATATAACATAAGGATATCCTCAAAAACCTAGAGACGTTTTTTCAAGATAAAACCGTGCAAGCTTATCAACAGCCTAGCTTATGGGCCCAAAGCAAACAATACCTCTAAGAACCCGCCTACCATGTGGTTGGAGACGGTATAACAACAGTTGACGCTAAAAGGAGGGCTCGAGTTTACCTGGGCTAAATGTGTCGGTTTATACCCACGCCAAACCTTCTAAGCCCCTCGTCTGAGTGGCTGTGTTGATGTCAAACTCCTACATTGATTAGGAGAATAATAATAATAAAAGTTAATGACATATATTAAGGTTTAATTAAATAATAAAAAATTTCTAAGATTTAGAAATAATAAAAAATTTCTAAGATTTAGAAATAACAAAAATCGGCCTACCTTAAATTAAATGATGAAAGGATACTTCGATAAATATTTATTAACTCTTAACAGTATATGTCATTAAACAGTTCACTAACGATTAAGGGATTATTGGTATTTCACAAACCTTTAAAAAAAAAAAAAAAAAAAAATAGCCTTATAGGCATTATCCGACCATTGTTATATTAAAGTCTTCCTCTTTAATGAAGAATGACTAACAGTCAAGAAAACTGTGAAGATTTGGCCAACTGTTTGACTATTAAAATGTAAGTTGAAGGAGCCTAACTTGCCCAACTTTGCTGTAGTCCATGTCGCATTGCTCATTCACCCATCCTGTTACCTGTACAAGTCCTTGAAGTCAAGCCCAATTGCCACTTGCCATCACCATTAATATGCCAACTCCTTACCAGAAGCCTAAACTTTACTATTGTCTAGACTCTGGAACACAATCCCATACGTAACACCTTGTGAAAACTACAATTGAGATTGAAAGGAAAGCATAGGAAAAGTTTTTTTTTTTTTTTTTTGAAAAAAAAAAAAAAAAACTACACTGAACTGGCAAGAGCACAAGTTTTTTAACAGTCTAAAGTAAATACAGATTAAAAACTGAGAGTAACAGGTAACAACCCAGTATGGCCATGAACTATTCTAGTTTGCTGTATATTTATAATATATGTTCATGGCCAACATATCTTCGGTAAGGAGAGAAAACAAAGTTATGGAGAAACATAATGAGAGTGTTGCTATATTCATTCTTTGCATTGGGATTATAGAGCTTGTTGGGCATGCTCATGGCCAACCAAGAACTACTCCTCTAACACCAGCTATGTTCATCTTTGGTGACTCTTTGATAGACTCTGGAAACAACAATTACATGCCAACAATTGCACGAGCAAACTATTTCCCTTATGGGATAGATTTTGGCCGTCCAACCGGCCGATTCTGCAACGGTCTTACAGCTGCTGATTATATAGGTACTCCTAAAAGTATATTTACATTGTTAATCTTGAAAGAGAACTAGGGTTATCTACATATATTATGTTATTTGAGTAGTGATCTGTTAGCATAAAGGATTTTGGCTCTTTAACCAACTGTTCATAACATTCTTCTCCTTTTTTTTACAAAACTTGGAGCTCGATACCTTGGTTTGCCATTGATTCCACCGTATCTATCTCCACTGTCAAAAGGAAGAAACATCTTGAGGGGACTCAACTATGCATCTGCTGCAGCTGGCATTCTAGACGAGACCGGGAAAACTTATGTAAGTTTCTTACATTCACTTCATAGAAAAGGACTAGTTGAGTTATGAGAATAGCA